AATGCATTTGTCCCCACAACAGCCCTGTGCAGTTGAGCATTTTGATTCCCATTTTGCAGAAGGGGAAACCGAGGCACAGCAAGGTCAAGTGGCCCACCCAAGGTCACCCAATGAGCCTGTGGAAGAGCTGGAAATAGAACCCAGATCACATGCCTCCCCATCCTCTCCCTTAATCTCCCGGGAACATTCCCCTGATACTGCAGAAGTCATTTGCCAGTGTAACATGCTTTCACATGAACCAGTGAAAACCTAGCTGGGGCTGAGCCAGCTCGTTTTGAAGTCTGCAAAATAAACAAACTCCACTGCCTGCCATGGGAACAGAACTGGGGCCTTTACCCTAAACTCCCCCACTGCTAACGCAGACTGGATCGCAGCCTGCAGCCGTAGTGGATGTGAGTTATGCTGTGCTGGACTTTAGCCTTAGGAAGATACTGTAATAGGGGGGAGTCGGGGAAACCTTGTTGAAGCTGGCGACTGTAACAGCCACCCGTTGTTCAGGATAAATGTAAGAAGCAGTTAAGCTCCTTTCATAGTGAAGCAGTAAGAGCTACCCCCCCAGACGCAGGCCACAAAGAAGGTGGCTCAAGAGCTGAGCTTTTGGGGTGGAGACGTTTTACTGGATGCTGAGCATTATTTGGACCTGTGAGTGTGTGTGTGATGGAAGCACCTGTAAAATGACCCTCAAGGAGAGCTCTTTGGGAAGAGTGCTGGCTGGAAAAAAAAGAGGCTGAAATATTGAGTACAGAAACGGTCTCCTGTTTCAGGATTAAACAAAGACTGTGAATGGCTAGCCAACTACAAAAGCAGTTTCTCCTCCCTTGGTGTTCACACCTCAACTGCTAGAAGAGGGCCTCATCCTCCCTGATTAAACTAACCTCGTTATCTCTAGCCTTACTCACTCTTGCTTGCATATTTATACCTGCCCCTGGAAATTTCCAGTACATGCATCGGAAGAAGTGGGTAGCATGCTCCTATACGTCTGTTAGTCTATAAGGTGCCACAGGACTCTTTGCTGCTTTTACAGATCCAAACTAACACGGCTACCCCTCTGATACTTGTCTCCTGTTTGACTCCTTCTGTGTGCACGGAAACAGGATGTCATCCATTCTTTGTAATGAAACTATCACATCAGAGACATACCTGACTCATCAATTTCTCCTCCTAAACAAAACCACCCTATAAGACTCCAAATATTGGCTACCCCTAACCCAAAAGGGGTAACAATATTTTATTTAGGGACAAACCTGTCATTGGGTCCCCAGAAGACTGTACAACACATCTGCCTTCTTCCAGCTGCAGCATGCCCCATGAGGATGTTTGGCTCAGGTAGAACATGCCTCATGACTTCTCACAAGTGTAAAAGTCCCCAAAGCTTGCAGTGTTAGTGTCACAGGGTGGAAGGGCCCTTTATGAGGGAACTGGTCCAGCCCTCGTGTGCCTCATTAATAGCCTTGATGGGGCTTGATAGAGGGAAGCCCATCTCTATAAAGAGTGAAAGGGAAATAGGAAGAGGAAGATGTACCAGAAAGCTAGAAGACTCCTATATGAACAGTCAATCTGTGGAACTCCTTGCCAGGGGATGTTGTGAAGGGTAAAACTATAACGGGGTTCAAAAAACAACTAGGTAAGTGCAGGGAGGATAGGTCCATCAGTGGCTATTAGCCAAGTACCCCATACTCCTTGTGTCCTAACCCCCTGACTGCCAGAAGCTGGGAGTGGATGACAGGGGATGGATGGATCACTTGAGAATTACCTGTTCTGTTCCCTCTGAAGCACCTGGCACTTGGCCACTGTCGGAGGACAGGAGAGTGGCCAAATGGACCATTGGTCTGACCCGGTCTGGCCATTCTTCTGAGAAGCTGCAAAGAGCAGCAGGCTGTGGGAGAGCACTGAGCCCGATTGGCTCCTGCAGGGAGGAAAGGGACTGAACCCAGCTCCAGGAAGGAGGGCTGGGGGTTTGTTCTGGTTCAAGGAGAGAGACGTGGGCGTGAGGTTGGAGTTTAGAGGATCAGTGTGTGTAGGGACTAAATCAACTAGACCCCAGCAAGGGAATGTTTTAATTACTGTTGTGCTGCAATGTGGCGTCCTTGAGGAACCCAAAAAGGGTAACTGAGGCAGGGTGCCTGCACAGTGACCTTAGGCCACAAGGAGGTGCTCCGGTGGTGGCCTGTTGCAGTTTGAAGACAAGGTTTTGCTTCAGGCTCTTCTCTTGTTCAGCCTATAATGTTCTACTATGGAAGAAAGGTTCATGCCAAGCAGTGATTATTAAAACACTCGCAGCCCATGTTCAGCTGTATTTCAACTCTTGCAAACCATCTTTAGTCCATCCATTGACTGGAACACGGGGGACCTGACCAGAAATCACATTACTGCAGCCCCAAATATTCCAGCAGCAAAAATATACTAGGCAGGGGGATGGGAGCTACCTATTTTATTTGTGGGGGAGCTGTAATAAATTGCCACACTGACTAAGGCAACTATAGTAAACAGCCCAAATTCTGCTCTCCTCCTTGCAGTGCGGGCGGGGAGAGGGAGGTGCACTCATACCAGAGAACGGAATTTGGCCCAAAGTTTGTAGTGTTTATAACCATGTCAAGCAATAGGCCCTTTGTTGGGGTTTCGCCGTAAGTTAATTCAAACTGGGCAAAACACGCCGTTTGAACCGGCTCGGGGAGGATCGCCCCAGTGTAACAGGGAGCCTTTAGCCTTACCTAGCACAGAGCCAGCCAAGAGGCTCTTCAACCACTCGTCTCAGTCTGCCAGTTTCTGGCCTAGCAGGGAAAAGGGAGCATAGCTGGCAGAATTGGATGTGTACCTTTGATCCATGGCTCTGTTTAGCTCAGGGGTGGGCAAATTTTTTGGCCTGAGGGCCACATCGGGGTTCCAAAACTGTATGGAGGGATGGGTAGGGAAGGCTGTGCCTCCCCAAACAGCCTGGCTCATGCCCCCTATCTGCCCCCTGACTTCCTCCCTCAGAACTCTCAACCCATCAACCCCCCCTTTGCTCCTTGTCCCCTGACCGCCCCCTCCTGAAACCCCCCCTGCCCCTAACTGCCCCCCTCGGACCCCAACCCCTATCCAATCCCCCCTGTCCCCTGATTGCCCCTTCTCCTATCCACACCCCCGCCCTCTGACAGGCCCCCTTGGGACTCCCATGCCTATCCAACAGCCCCCTGTCCCCTGACTGTCTGGGACCCCCTGCCCCTTATCCAAGCTCCCTGCCCCCTTACCATGCCGCTCAGAGCACCAGGACTGGCAGCCACACCGCCCGGCTGGAGCCAGCCACGCCGTGGCGCGGTCTAGAGCACCGGGGCAGGCCGGCGGCTCTCGCAGCTGCGCTGCCCGGCAGGAACTCGCAGCCCCGCCGCCCAGAGCGCTGGCGGTACGGCGAGCTGAGGCTGCGGGGGGGAAAGGGGGACAGCAGGGGAGGGGCTGGGGGCTAGTCTCCCTGGTCGGGAGCTCAAGGGCCGGGCAGGACGGTCCCGCGGTCTGGATGTGACCCATGGGCCGTAGTTTTCCCACCTCCTGGTTTAGCTGCTTGTGGCTGTCTCAGGGAGGATGGTGCTGGGACGAGAGGACAGGAAGAGGTGGCAGGAGTGAGGGGAGGTACTGAGCCTCTGGAGTCGGGGGGAGGGGCACGGCAAAGGGGGCCACTGTCTCCAGGCTGCGAAGGAAGGTTCCGGGGGTGTCTACCTGCTTCCAGGCCCACTCCAGTCCCTCCGGGTCCTGCTCCCTGTCCAGATCCTGCAGTGACTATTCTAGTCCCTCTGGTTCCCACTCTCACTTCCACGCTCCCCACTCCCCGAGCCTGCATGAGTTTACAATATTTCCATCGTGGGGGTGCCAGCCCTCTGCCTCCTCTCTCCTTGGAGCATAGGGTTGCCACCTTTCTAATTGCTGGTAACCAAACCCCTGAGGCCTTGCCCCACCTCTTCACTCCCCATCGCTCGCTCCTCTGCGCCCCGCCCCCCATCGCTCACTGGAGCCTCTCCATCTTTCTTCCCTCCCCCACCCCCACCAGGGTGCTAGAATAATTTGTACTGTGTGGGTCCTGAGAGCCATTGAACCGAACTGTAAAGTCTGTATAAGATGGAAACCACTTCAAGCCAGGGGTGTGCGGCAGCACCCTGAGTTCCAGCACCTGTGTCTCCCCCCTGCCCCCGAGCCGAGCTCTGCTTCAGGGCTGATATGGGAGCTACTGAAGCCTGACAAGGAGCCTGCCTGTAGGTAGGAGGCAGCCCCCAGCTTAGCAGGGGCTGGTGTGGGTTGATGACCCAGTGCCTCCCCTGTCCTGCGGTAACTGGACTTTTGGTGTCTGGTCAGACGTAAAAACTGAGCACCTGGCAACCCTATAGCATTGGGCTGGGACTTGGGAAAACCGGGTTAAATTCCTTTGCTTTGACACAGATTTCCAGTATGACAGTAAGCAGGCATTATTTTCTGTGCCTCCGTTCCCATCTGTAAAATGGGCATAAATACTTTCCATTCTCCTGGGCATGTTGCGAGGATAAATGCATTAAAGACTGTGGTGCTCAGGCACAATAGTGGGGGGCCATCTCAATGCCTTAGATAGGCAAGTTAGCCAACCCTTGTGTTCTTCTCGTACAGCACATGGGAACCAGCCAGACATCAACTTTAAGGCCCTTTTGCACACTTAGGTGCGCTGCCCACCCTGGCCCATCATGCTATGTGTTACCGTTTCATAGTCCTGCTTAGGTTGCAGTGTTTGTTTTCATCCTGATTTGTTGGTTCTTCTTCCCCGCAGAATTCCCAAAGACGGCGCCTGTGACTCACTAAGGATAAAATCATGCAGCGCTCTCTAAAGTTAGCATCCTTTGCATCGCCAGATGGGATTTTTAAAATAAAGATGAATCCGCTGTCGCAGATGCTGCTGGGAGTTAACACTTGGTCCCTTTTTCATAGAAATGGCCTTCCTTGCTACTTTACATTGAAATAATTGAGACAGCAGCTGCTATCATCCTGATTGTGACAGAACAGCCGGCGTTAAAGATACGTGTGTACACAACTCATCCCTCACCATCTTTCCCCCTTTCTCTTGACTTCGATCCCTGACAATTGCAGATGGGCACGAGAGGGTTAAAGCAACCAGCTTTCTCCTGCCTGGCTGAGTTAGCACTTCCAGGATGACTCCAAGGAACAGCCTTTGCATCGCAGAACAGAGGGGGGGACACTGCAGCAGGTCAGAGGAAATGTTATTTAACGCTGGCTCCAATCTCCTCCCACTTGCCTGTTTGGCTGGGGAAAAGAGAGAGGCAGATCTGTAGTGAAGGAATTAACCAGGGACTAACGCCAAGAGCCAATACAATCCGTGACAGCAGAGGCTGCCTGCTGCAGACTGCTACTGGATTCAGGAAGGGAGACAGAGAAATTCAATCAGACCACCTGGAGAGGAAGGAGACCATCTTCGGTAGACTGCTGCAGGTGGAAGGTTCCCTGAAGCACTGTTCTGGCACTGACTTGATCAGCCGAAAAGACTATTTCATTCTGTGATCACCTGCTGACTGTGAAGTCCAGACATAAAAGCTGGACAGACTGACAGATCGTCCTGGTAACAAACCTCACTGGATCTTGCAGCCAGGAGTCGATGCAAGGATCTTTGCGTGTCCACCTAGCAGACTGAAATGATTAAGGCTTAATACCCCTAGCAAGACCAGTTACTAAACCACTGGGAAAACTCCCTTCACGGTCCTCACGTGGAAATGTGCCAAAGCTCACGGACAAGCTAATCACACAATTAGACACTGAAGTCGAACGAGCACACGACTGCTCTTGGGAGAAACTTGCACATTTCCTACAACTACTGCAGTCACCCCAAAGCGGGGAGGGGGAGTTAATTAATACCTATCTTTTTTTTAACTGTCTGGTTTATGTCTGAGGCCCTTGGAACCGGTTAAAACAGGTACAGCACCTCCTGAAAAGAGAAGGTTAGCCTCATTCCAAATACAGATGACACCTGAGTGAAAACAGCAGGTGGTGGTGGTCCTTTCTTTGAAAAAGCAGGGGAAGAACCTTGGGCACCGAGAACAAGTTACCTAGCCAGGTGGTGGTCATCTTCTCCGATCCGTCCAGGTTCTCGATCTGGGACCGTGGGGGAACAGGAAACTTCTTCAAGGGTTCTGGATTGTGTCACATGACTAACACGAAGGACCCTAAGAGAGCCATGGATGCTTTACCAGTGACCTCCAACTCTGCTGCAGGCCCTGTTACTTTCTCACAGGTCTTTGGCCAGCAATGTCAACTTATGGAGGCAGGTAAGAGGGGTATATATTTAATTTCCTAACTTGTTGCCCACTAATTGGCAAATTATCTTCTCCCCAGACCCAGGACTTACCAAAGTCTGGGATTGTTCAAAGGAGTCTAAGGGATTTAAGCACCCAATTCCTTAGCTTCTTTTGAAAATCCCACCTTAAGATTCCAAAATCCAAATATTCACAAATTTGAAACCATGGCATAGGATGGACATTATGCTGTTTGGATTAACATGCTTTGAAATCAGCCACTCTTGAGCTGATGGTCCAAGAGAGGTTGCCACTGTGTTTTGAACAGTAAATGGTATGCATGATAACTCATCAAGTTACTAAGAGTCATGAAAACAAATGATGCTGAAATAATTAGTCAAGCAAGGGCATGAGTGGTAATTTCACTGCTGCATCTTTTTGCCTCATGTAACTTTTATAGGAAGTGAGTTGTTTCTAACTGGTGAGTAGCTGGTCAGGGAACACGGATTTGTACTGTGTTGGGGAGTGACTATTGTAGCATGATGCATCTCCGGGTGGGGTGGACCTTTGGTGAAGATGTTCTGTTCTATAAAGGACCAGGTGACTATTAATTATTACTGTAGTGCCCTGGAGTCCTGGTCATGGACCAGCACCTCATTGTGCTAGGTGCTGTACAAACACAGCACAAAAAGAAGGTCCTTGCTCCAAAAATTTTTACTGAGTTGCAACTCCCCTAGGGTGGGTCTGATTCTCGGATGCCCTTGTGGAGTTGCATGAAGCTATGTAAAACATAGCTAAATCAGAATTCTCCCTCTGATTGGTCTTCACACTCACTCTGCGGAGGTGCAAACAGCTACGCAAAGTGCAAGGCCATGAAGGACTAGGCTCATTGTCTTTAACTATCTTAATGTTTTGTAGCAGCGTCTACCACCATAGTATCTGAACACCTCCTGGGTTAATAAAGTGGTCTGGCAAACAAGGACCCTAGTCAAATTCATGAGTCTTCATTTCTTCTCCAGTGCTGGGTTAAAGGAAGCTCTCTCCACAAAGGATGGAGAGAGAGGATTGGTAGTTGCAAATATTGATGATGACTTTACAATGAATTTTCTTAATCACACATTGTGTCGACCTGATTTAGTGTCCATGTTGCCAAGACCCACTGGCACTTTCACAATACTGGTTATGACTACGGAATAGGACTTATTTTCTGGTGAATTTCTAGGAGTGAAGCTAGGACAGAGACACCTAGTTGTCTCCCCTAGAAGATCACTTGAATATGTCCTCCCAGATCCTATTACAAGTTATGTTTGGACCATATTGTTACTGTTTAGAGGGTGAATTCTGAAAGAATTACACTGCACGATTCCTGCATGATTTCCATTGAAATCTGTGGAAATGACCTAGATAAAGTTAAGACATATGGTGAGCTTCATTTTCTATCTTGTGACTGTGTTGGGCTCTCAAGGCAAATATCAGGGAATAATCCAAGGCAGCTTTACTTTTCTCCCTTGCATATTTCAGATCATATTATCAATGATGCCCAAGTTCATAACTCCACTGGGTCAGGTGCTGAACATAAACGCACTTGAAAACAGTCCCTGCCCTGAGGTCTTGCATTCCAAATGGCAAGACAGACAAAGGATAGGAGAAAGCAAGTAATAGTAGCTTAACTTCTAAAAGGGGCAACTGAGACACACCAAGATGAAGAAACTTGCCTAGGGTCACGTAGAAAATTTATGGAAGAGCCAATGTTTGATAGCTCTTGAAATCCAGTTCAGTACCTCAACCACAAACTCATCTTTCCTTTCAATGGCTGTCTTCCATGATGTTGCTTCGATGTAACTGAGGACAGAATATGGCCCCGAGTAGAGCTGAGTGAAAGTTTTTGGCCAAATTTTGTGTGTGTGTGTGCATGAAAAATACAGGTTCAGTGACACTGAAATATTTCACGAATTTGTCAGTTTTACTGAATTGTTCGTTTTGAGGGGGAGGGAAGAAATAAAAATTCTGAAAAAAAAATGGAAATGTTGATTTTCAGATTAAAACTACTTTTTGTTTCAAAATATCCTTGAATCTTATTTTTAAAAAAATTCAAAAAGTTTTAAGAAGATTAAAATTAAAATGAAATGCTTTGATTTTGGCGGAATGAAATGTTTCATTTGACCCAAAATGGAATGTTGTAAAAGTTTTTTAAAGTTACCAATGAACTGAAAAAGCCATTATTCCCACCACTCTAACCCTAAGACGATAAAGAGCAATGTAATAATAAATATTGGCAATGTTCTTTAGCCAAACACACGAAAACAAGTGTGGATTTTGGCTATGCATGTAATAATGCAGTAGTAACAGCTGTCTCCTCCATTGGCTGCTTAGAATGGGGCCTCCGGTTAGCATGTGGAGGAAGCCAGAGAAAACATTGTAAGAAACTGGCAAATACTACCTGGGTTTGCATGCCTGTACCTCTCCTGCGTATCTTGGCCACTCAGAACTTTGCAGACAGCAATGATAGATTTTGCTGTTCTACAACCACAGGGGTCTATCACAGGAGCTAAAAGAGATTCTCTGCTCATTCTTAAGGCCTATAAGATAGAGGAGCAGTTCTGATTCCATCCAGTACAGGGCAGTAGTTAAAATACCCAGTAGCCAGTACACCGCCCTATTGATACGCTAACATTAAAATTCCTTCCTGTAAACCTAGGATAAGGAGATGAAGCCAACAGAGATTCAGATGTCCTGCTACAAAAGGAAAGATCCAGCTTGTCATTTATAGCACCTTAACCCAAACCCAAGGGAGAATTCTGGTAAATGATACTGGTACTTCTTGTTGCTGGCTGAGCAGCTGGTTAAGGATATGACCGTGTAGATTGTGTCTTTAACACTAGAGAGGGGTCAGGACAAAATTTCTCTTCCAAACAATCCAGAAGTCTGGGGGAAGCTCTGCTCCAGTTATGAAACTTTCAGATCTAGGCCCTTCTGGACATAATCTATTGAAATGCCATCTCACCGCTGCAAAACATGTTTGCACGTGGAAAATGGATGTCCAGGGGAACCTTTGAACAACTAGGAGCAATTGTAAAGATTTAGCCACAGAACTCCAGGAGGGTAGGGTGGGGGGCAAATGCTGTATTAATTTATATACCCGCCTGACTTCAAGTGGGTTGCAGCAGTTGCTATTGGGGATGCACAGGCATAGCTGGGGGGCAGAATTTTGACCCAGGACTATTAACTAATGTGTATGTCTCACAAAGCCCTGCCACAGACTTCCTGCATGACCTTTGGGCAAGTCACTTAGCCTTTCTGTATCTCAGCTCCCCATCTGTAAGATAAGGATAATAGCGCTGCTCCTCCTCCTCCTGGAGTGTTGTGAGGACAAATTCATTAGTATATGTAATGTGCTTGGATATGGCTGCACCTAGAAACTTCAAGGCCAAATTCTGCCTTCAGTTATATCTATGCACCACTGACTTCACTGAGACTATAGGGATGTAGAGTCCGACCCTGGGAGCCTAAATTTAAACAGCAAAACGTGTCGACCTCCTATATCACATCACCGTGGTTAATAACATTTTGGTTTTTTTCATAGCAATAGGATGTGCTGAAATGATGAAAGGTCTAGACCTAATCTGAAATGTCAAACAGTGCACCTGCAGAAATACCAAACTCTATGTAAATCACAGACTTGGTAGTACACCTCCCATTAGCCCCTTTCAAGTTGTCTACAAGTGGCAACATTGTCTATGGCTCGCCCTTTGTCACATGGAAAGCAGCAAGCTCGGAATGCTCGAGCTGAGTTTAAATGTAGAGGGTTCTGGTTTTTAGAGCATCCCGCCAGTACCCTCCAAGACCCATTGAAAGCAATGGGAGCCCTTCCACTGACTTCAGTGGACTTGGGATCAGGTGGGCAAATTTATTTTCCCTTAAATTTCTTTAAGGACAGCAGGCTCACAAGTTCCCACACAGAAAGCCAGCCCTTCATGGGTAGAGCTCCCATTGCAGTCAAGATCGCTCCTGGTGGAAGGTTTGCACGGGACTTCTGGAGACCACAAAACTTGAAGATAGAAACTTTGATTGTTGAGGCTTGTTCTGTATCAGTCAAACCAACCTCTCTCCGCCTTTATAGATGTTTGGGGACCAAATCTGCCCTCGGTTACAAGAAGGCTTCTCCCATAGTAACTGAAAGAAGAACCAGGCCCTTAGGCATACCCTTCTGGCTACCTTAGGGTTTTGTCTAGCAGTGTGTACATTTAGCAGGGCACACGGTGGGCACTGGAGACCCTCTTCCTAGCTGACAGGCCATGCCGGCTTGCAGCTGTGAAGTGTGAGGGGGAATGGCAGCCACACCAACTCCCTGGCAATTTTAAGTGGTTTGGCTCACGTCCAGTGATGGAAGGTGACAGAGTCTCTGCTCTGCCGTCCCCCAGGAGGGAAGACTGGGGCCTGCTCGCTGCCTGCCGAATGGTCTGTTTGATGAAAGAAAAAGATTCATTCTGTTTAAGTTTTTCCTAGATATATTTCAGTTTCACTATTCCCAAGGTGACACTTCCTTTCTACTATCTATATGGTAGTTACACGGCTCCTGTTACTATCATGTCTGAGCACCTCTACTCCTGGAGTGTATTTATCCTCAACACTTCAGGAAATAGAAGAGGGATCTTATCCCCATTTTACAGAGAGACTAAATGAATTTCCCAGGGTCACACCTGCAATCTGTGGCAGAGCTAAGCCCTGAACTAACTGAGTCCTATGCTAGTGCGTTCACCACGCTCTTTCTCGCTCACCTAATCTTGCTGTGCAGTCTCTTTTTCTAAACACCAAATATTTACTTGGGGGAAAAAAGTTAACTCTTCTCCACCCAGCTGCACATCATTTTGCTTGATATGAAAGTTTAAAAATTTAAAATGAAAAATTTCTCTGCAGCTGGTTTTGCATAATCTAATTATTTATGCATGCTTTTTGTACATTTGCATAATTCCCTAGGATGTACCATGGTAATTACGCTATTAGTCTAAATAGCTCATTGTCATAAGGGAACA